ATTACTTGACGCCTGACAGGGCTCCTCATTATGTAATGGAACACATCTGAATTTCCAAGTTTGTGTTGCGTGACATTAAAATGGCAGCCTGATAAGGCTCTCGAGTAGGTCAAAAGATGAGTTATTACTCAAGTTTTTGCTAACTAAACAGTTCTTGCTGTAGAAGAAGTATTAATTTCAATGTGTCAGAGCTCTAGAGTAATAACTTTTGGTTTCAATGGAAAAATTCAATGACAGATGTTTTTTTTTTGTTACTTTACAGCTGCCATGTTTGTGTCCCTCCAAGGGGCACAAACATAGCAACTCCATATAGAGCTCTATGAATCTGTGTGAAACACTTTTCCGAATAATGCGTGAATGAAAAACTGCACAGACCTAAATTTTGACTAGGTTGTAACTTATAAATCGATTATCTTTCATATCCCAGCTTCTTGACTTAATTTATTGAATGATTACGATGTTTATTTTTGATGTTGTGACACCGCAAACCAGCCATAGTGGAGCTCCTGCATGCTTAAGGCRCACAAGTGGAGCCCCATACCTTAGAAAATTTGGTAACCAATCGATCTCAAAACTTTTGGTTGTCATGTGATTGTCCATACGTCCATATGTTAAGCCCAATACCTTGAAAAATAAGAGAGCAGCACCATTACCATAAGTGTGTCTTTGATTACTGGACAGTTAATTAACAGTTGTCAAAACAAGCAATCTGCTGACCCGTATCATGTGACCATATTGTGGGCTCAGGTTTAGAGCTCATTGAGGTCGCATGTTTTTTTGAAGTTGACCGCTGACCAGGTACTGGTTTTCGATTAGATCAATCAGGTTATTACTCTGGGGGAGATGGAACGAGATGTTATTGACTTTTCTTCCTGCATATTCTTTGCACAATTGTCTCTTGGAAAGTCCCTGATATATTGCGTATATAATTTCGACAATCTTGGTTATGCTTATTGGGTATACTTTGTTAAAATTTAACTAAAAAACAATATCAAAACCACATGCTGAACAATTGTATGCTCACAATTGATCATTATTTAAGTTTCTGATCCAAGAAAAACAAATCTTCTTTTTCCTTTATGGTTATTATTGCAATCAGGAGCTCTGCTTTTAGGCTTGGTTAAATCTATATAATTTATTGTACTTTGAGTTCTCAAAGAGTTTTTCTAGCAGCTTTGTAGCAGTTGTTAAGTAGTCTTGAAGGGTTTTGTATTAGTTGTTTCTAGTGTTCCCCCATCCCATCCCATCCTCTATATTTCTGATCCAGTCGTGCCTGGAATGAGGTCTCATGGTTAGCTTACAGGGATTTGCTGGCCATGGGAGCAGTATTCTATCTACTGGGGCAGGCTGGCCACAGTGGAAGCCCCTGGATACCCCAGGCACACACCTTGGTTGGGTTTATCTATTAGAAAAATATAAATTATGTCTTTACAATAAATGTGTTTTTTAACAATTTAGTCATTGGACTGAGTTCTTGGTAATTTCACCATCAACAAGAATCTTTTCTGAATTTCCCAATTTTTTAGTCAGCAGTGAACAAGATTGAACAGACAGTGGACAAACCAAGATGGGACATTGGATACACCTACTGTAGATGGACAGTGGACGAACTTGAATGCATAGTTGACAATATTGGTCTCATGGAGGAAAAACTGGATGGACTCAACTCAACAACTCTGGATGGACAGTGGAAAACCAAGAACATTCATTTCTTGACCAACCAGGTAAATGCAACCAGGTTTAAACTGGTAGAAAAAAATTTAATATATTATAAATTACCAGTACAACTGTATCTCGTTGTACGTAATAATATTAGACTGAGTTGTTGAGAATTTCACCACCAGTGAGAATTGTTTCTTTATGTCTCAATAAAGAGGCTCTCTAAGTG